ATTTTTGTAAAGAAAAAAGTAAAAAGTTAATTCTAGCCGGAAATTGGTAAACAATTATGTAATGCGGGCCAAAATTTTGAATATCCTCGGACGTTAGCCAATCAAAATCGAGAATCTGCCGCACATTTTCAATGGATAGTGATCGGTACGACGTAGTAGCAGATCCCGATTTTAATTGGCTAATGGTGATCGAGCCACCAAAAAGTTTGATCATCACGTGACAAAAATATCGAGAACTTGAGCAAACAAAAAATTTATAGACTAAAAAATAATAACAATAAGCAATAATTAATTATTTTATTATTTCAAATAAACTCGATAAACGTAATATTTATCACAGTCAGAAAGTATTATGATGTTTAAACTGATTATACTAATTATACCCATGATTTCATTAATTCCCTCCATCACGCTAATACCCATTAAAGACCCGATGCAAAGTATACAGTGTACAGTATATGGTTACGGCACGATTCCCCGAAAGTTATTTACCCGCCAACTCATTTCCTCGACACCGTAATGCTGACATGATATTTCATCTACAGCACTTTTTTTTGATAAGATATATGTTTTACATTACATTTTTTTGACATCAATAATTTCCCGACATTTAATTCTAACAACATTAATTCTAAAACAGGCTAAATTGGGCTGATTCTATGTCGAAGAAATGATTATCGGGGAAATGTCTTATCTAAGAAAAGTATTGTCGAAAATATGTAATGTGAATATATGTCTTATCGAAAAAATGTGCTGTAAATGAAATAGCATGTAGGCATTGCGGTGGCGGAGAAATGAGTTGGCGGATAAATAGCTTTCGGGGAATTGAACGACATAAACCCATTCATTTATGGTAATTGATCGTCATAGCGTTAATTGGACGCTGCGCCCACCGAAAACCACACGTGTTTCCAGGCTCACAATAGATTGTGATTAACTAATTGGTGATACAGTACATGATGTCGTTACTACTCTGCTTATTTTATATTGTATCTACCTTAATTGACAGCACCGTGATATGCAAAATGTTATTGGAAATTACTATATTAAATAGAAAAATGTACAGTACGTTGGGAATCCAGATACAAAACCAGGTCGATTACAATGTCAGAACAATTAAATTTGTACAATGCTTTTGTAATGCAGGGGTATTTCGCACAAATTTCATTAAAGAAAGCTATCTAAAATTTTTATGCAGGTGACGCAATTTTTTTTCCTGTCTAACCAATTTAATTCTAATTATAAATGTGTAAGTTATTAATCATAGCGATAGAAGAACCAGTCATTGAGTTTTTTCGAACCCTGATTAAGCGATTATGTGTGACTTTTCGGAGTTTAAAATTGCATGTTATCGATATGGATCGCGACATTAGAAGTGACATAAATAATTATATAATTCAAGAATTCGTTTATAAAACAACCTTTTACGTCATAACAAAAAAGATTCCTTGCAAAATTTTGGTATAATTATTTTCTAACTATAACCTAAATTTAACCTGACTCGAGTTTTAAGGCTTCGTCGCGTTTTATTTATTTGCATTACGTACTTAATAATATTTCATGAAATACCGTATCCTATCGTGAATAAGCACACTTTTTTAAATATCAGATTAGCGGTAATAATTTGGCTAAAGACTTCATTGCGATTTCCGCTAATCTGACATTTAAAAATTGGGGTAGAGGGTGTAGTGCTTATTCACGATAGGATACGGTAATAAATTTATTTAAAATTGTAACTAGAAAAAAAAGTCGAAATTGTAACAAATCAGGAGTGACATTGCAGAAGTTGCTGTGTACTTTATTGTATAGTGAGATTTGCAGATCATAAAAAAAAAAAGAATCACCTGCGATTTTTGGTTGATTTTTGATTCTTAAAACTACTCCAGCATGACAATATCATAACCAGATATCGGAGTAGTTTTAAGAAATTAGAAATCACCTAGGAATTGCAAGTGATTTCATTTTTTTTATGATCTGCAAATTTCACAAAATTATGCAAACAGCAATAATTGAAATCGAAATTAATTGTAGTCCCATTCCTGAAATAAATATGTGACATGAGGATTCTAAACCTTATTAATCCAGATTTTGTAAAATTATTTTACATATATAAATAGTAGATATAGATATATGGGGTCTTTGCCTTGAAAATAACCTTACGGTACATGATACCGTAAGGTCATTTTCAAGGCAAAGACCCCATATATTCAAAAAAAAAAAAAATGGCGAGCTCAAAAGTTACTGCTATTGGAGATATTGGAGAACTATGACAAAAGCAGCCGTAATGCTTGTGAACTACGCGATTTTATTTATGCTGTTGTGTAATGTCAAGGGCGGGTGTATTTCACTTCATCATATATAGTAACGTAAAGTCAATAGTCATTTTGCAAAGCAGGTCCTTTGTAGTTTATTAAGGTTCTGATTTATTTGAGAAGTTGCTATTATGATATACTGTACAGTACCCATTTGGAAGTTTAAGTTTATAAAAAGACTTTTTTTCCGGAAAATTCTTCTTGCCCCATGACAATTGATGCATTATTCATTCAAGAATTTTATACCTGTTACTGTTGTCGCGGTCTAGAATATGTTAACGTATTTAAAAGGAAATTGTATTGAGCCTTTGGCATGAAACAGGATTTTAGTAATTAAAGTTTTAAAGGGCCCGATCTTGTGATGTAATACTGTCAATTTCGTTACTTGTTACGTCTACGCGAACAATAGGAGACATTTACTTTATAAAAGTTCAATTCATAGAAAACAATTTAGAAGTGTAAAAGAATAGAAATGCTAGTAAAATTAATTTCACCAATTTCATCAATAGTAGTGAAATTAATTCACCACTCTAAATTTATTTCACTGGATCTTTATAAAAGTTTATATATTAGAAATATTTAAGACTTAATATATATATATATATAATGTATTATATTATAAGCATAGTGGAAGTTCATTTTGATTGGTTGAGGTGAAGATCTTTTTTTATATTGTCAATTGTAATTTTTAAAGTACGTACTTTTAATAAGTAAAGATAGTCACGACACATAATTTTTTTTTCTGTAATGCGTAAATATTACGATGACTTAACATATCGTTTTTTACCTTTAAATCTACTGTTTTTTAACAACTGATGCAATAGGATGCAAAAGATTGAGAAACTAAATGAGAGGTGAAGGTTTTGAAAGGTCGGAAGGTGTTTCGGCGATCTAAGCAATTAGTAAGTGAAAGTTGCAAGATTTTGCAGTTCTACTTTGTTTTCTATAAGTAAAAAGTACTACGTATTTGGAACTAATATTCCAACTCTACCTTTTTATTATATTTGGTTTATAAATACACGTTTTATAGTAGCAGTGTTTAGAAATGTTCGTGTCACAAAACTTAAGAGTATTTGTTGTGAAATAAATAGTGTACTTATTGCATAATATTGTATACATTGTGAATATGAATAATTATGAACCCAAATTAATGTATTTTAAGACTAATATGCGCCTTTAGAAAGTATTGACTAGTCTTTTTAAAAGTTTCGTAAGTAATAAAATTTCATCTGGGGCATAACTGATACTTTATCCGGAGATGATATTTTCTCGGGTATTTTAACAACCAATCAAAATAAACTTCCACTATGCTTATATTATATAGAGTATCAGTCTCTACAGTATATAAATATTAAGATTACGCGATCGTCACTTTGGACACGGCCGTCGTCTGTGATTGATTCAACTTTTACAAACCTCGCCGATCGGGTGATCTACTCTGATACTATTTGAACCATTTTTCCGGCAGTGACACATTTAACACCACGAAAAACTGTCAGTTCAACATTGCATATTAATTTTACACAAAAAAAAACGCTTTATTTTGAAATTTCATCTATTTTTGAAATTTTTTTTTTTCAAGGCCTTAACTGCATGACCCATTTGTCACTTTTTATGATTGTATCTCGGTGATTTCCGAGCTTAGACACTATCAAGTCTCATGGATTATTCACCTTTGTTATTGGCATTCTAAGGAGAAATATGACACAAGAAAAATTATAAAGGCTCAATATAAATTAAATAATTAATCAATAATATATGCAGATGGAGAATTAATAATATATGCATATACAGTGTGCTAACGAATTTTATTATTGGTAAAGTATTTTGCAGATTAATAAATCTAACCTGAAAAGAGAAATTGAAATGGGAAGATAACGCGTTATTTTTAGTATATCGACTAATAATCAATCACCTTAAATGTTAAGCCCCTTATTCTCTTAACTATATATATTATACTAAAAATTTATATTCAAATGATAATGGACAATTAAGCTTTGATAAACTATTAAACTAACTAATCTTTTAAAATAAAATTATATTTCAGAAAATATATGTATTTTATTTTAAAATATAGTTTTAAATCGTGATGTTTCGGATCTTCCGTTCTTTGTATGTGTAATATTCTTTTTTTTTAAAAAAAATTATAAAATAATAATAATAATAAATATGAAATTATGAGCACATCGAGTTTACATGATAATTTTAAAATGGAACAATTAAAATCTGAAAATTGTTTTTTTCATTAGAACTTGTTTTAACTTATAATTCCATAAATGCACAGTTATCTATAGTTATTTTATTAGAAGACAGTAATTTGTCTTCTGCTATGTGACAATTTCGCGTGATTATATCAAGGGGTTATATTTTTATATAATTGCATCAAAAAATTTATATTGTTCTTTCTTATAGTGCATATTATCTTAACTAAAAAGACGTTATTTTTAATTGACAAGATTAACACGAGACCATTTCATTGTTTCTCCATCATCATCATTTACAATTCCAAACAAATAAAATCGATAATAAAAACTGTTAACTCATCTAATCTAATTAATATATGGATCTACTTTAAAATTTTAAATATAAATATGACCTTTTTCTCCACTTATTTTCGGTTATGTTGAGCTTGTAAGCTATACAAATATAAATATCCCAGCTCAAAATCCAGTTCAAAATCCAGCTCAAATGCCAGCTCAAACTTCAGCTCAAATACAAGTTCAACAGGTACAAGATTTGATCAATCAAAGTCGAACTCCTCCGGCTTTACTGAGGATTTTCTCTTTTAATGTAAATTCACACGCTCGAAATTTATGGAGAACAAATAATAACAGATACATTACTGGCTATGGTTTGCTCCGAACAAAAATTAAGGAAGAAGGTCTTTTAATAAACGTAACAGATGGATTTGTTATCGGCAAATCCACAGATATAATATGGGGAGGTTTCACTCCAACTGAAAGAAATGTGTTCATTAATTATGCAAGTCAAATTCGAGCTGCTGTCAGAAATTGATAATATTTTTAAACTTTTATTGGCAAATTTATTTATTCTGGCAAAATTTCTTTAACAAGTTTTTTTTATAAATACTTCGCTTTTTATAAATGATTTGGCAAATTCTGAATACGTAAATTTATATAAATTAATAGAATAATTATACAATCATTACAATAAGATTTTAAAAACTTTTTAAATTAAAATATATATAGATGTGGCAAAAATTAAATGTTTCTAGAAAAACAGTGAAATTTAATAAAAATTATTTATCCTTATTAATAAGTTCAAAGTTTCGCCCATTAAACTGCTTTAACTATTATATGATAAAAAAATTCTCATAATGATTACATATACTTTGCCTAATTCTCTTTATAATCTGATAAAATCTGATGATCAATGTGATGCCAATGTCAATTAGTCATCACTTGTCACACATTCGGTCTTGAGTACTGTATGTTAAGTTCTAAAGTCTAAGGAGCGATATAATAAAATTTCTAAATGCTTCCGTAAGCAAAGTATGAAGAAAAATGATTATACCATATTTATTATACCTGATACATATCGTACGTTATAAAAATTCAATATCATATTAGATATAAATATCAGGTCAGTCAGATTTTTATTGAGACCATTGAAGAGGTGCACCTACATTATAAGAATTTAAAACCTAATCTCGTGCTATTATAAAAAAAAGGCATTTCACCCTATAGACATGTAAATTTTAATTACATGCCACCGAACGATTATTGTGTAAGTTTGATGAGATTAGCGAAAATTTTGCATTCGTATTATAAGGTCTAATAGGTTACAGAAAAATCGATTGGTCTCACCTAAAACATGTCGGATAACTAATACATATTTTCTAATAATTCGATCTAGTCAGTTTCTAAAAGAAAATTTACATTTATTATTAAGGCTCCTAGATAGGCTATTGAAATTTTAAAAAGCATGTTTTTTTTTATAAAAATTTTTATTATTAAAAGCCGATTTGATGGACACTTTTAAAATCATACATCATGAAAAACTAATTGATTTGTATATTTTTTTCATGATATGGAATGATATTATAAAAAAAAAAAAAAAAAAAAAATACAGAATATTCATATTATTAAAATAAATCTCAACGGTAAATTTTCTTAAAAACTCTAGCTTACTTTGCATTGTTTAACCTGTGACTGTGTATATGAGTGTTGATTATCCCTTAAACGGATTTGCCTGTGTCACGGGTTCGTCACATAATTGACCTATCTTTCTTTATTACTTTTATTTTTTTGTTATTCGTTTATTTATTCTGGAATTTGAGGGGAAATGATTGTTTGATTGCAGATTAATTCGTTAACCAAATTGGACATAGTAGCGGAGATCTCTGGCGGGATATCAGCGGATGGTAGCGGTACCGGCTAAATTTGGAAAAGGGAGCGAAAGATGTGTGATTAGTAGCGATGCCTGTATATAATGAAGTGAAGTATGTGTATAACAGACGATTTGCTTCATTACCATCATGTATAAAATAACATCTAAATTGTTCAATAAAGCCTGGATTCGTTTGAGAGTCTAATTAACATATAGAAAGTAGGCAGTGTTGGCCGAAGAGACCTACCCCTGTGTAATTAGAGACGAATTCTCATTTTGTACGTAATACTTGTTGTTATATTGATTATCGTTAGTGTTATCGCCCTAAAGGTATTTTGTTTAAAACGAAGTCACTATAAAATTTATTTACAGTAAGCTTCCGTTTCGAATCCTTTGATCGTATATCACGTGACAGACTTCGACGCTCGTTATACGCATAGATTATAGGAGCTAAATCAGTATTTATTTGCTCTCCAGATTCTATAGTTTCAGCCTGCAAATTTTGATCAAATTGTTTTTGATAGTACGTACGTACGTATAACTTATATAAATAATAACGTTTGCTTAGGTAATATTATTACCGACCGGACTACTTGCAAAGAACTTTTAGTCAAAATGACCTTTACCTACTTTTAATCATGGCTTGATTCTCATGTATCCATCTCATGAATGTGTTATTTAATCAAAATTTTGAAGTTATTAATCGGATTTAAATTTTTATAAGGAAACCAGCAGTTTTGTAAATTTATGTCTGCAATGCTTCGATTCAAATTCTAATACCTGACTAAATGACACAACACAATTCTGCAGATTGTTGAATTTAAATCCCTAAATTTACAAATCCAATTTTATGAATCTGTTGCATAATATAATAATAAAATACTAGTATCGGAATCTAAAAATTAAATAATGCTGTCACGGGCTAAAAGGTAGATCGACAAATCGGCGCAGCAAACTCAGCAGATTGATCATCGGAATTCCAGATAGACTAGTGCATGAGGCTTACCGGCTAAATAACGGAAAGATAACCTACGTGAAATCCGAAGAAGAATTCCAAGAAGAA